TGGCAGCACACCTGCACCATCAGTACAACCCTATATTTCCCTACCTACGTGACTGGCTGCTCATGGGCTGATTGCTTCAGGAGGTACAGGCATCAGTCACCTTTTTATTTGGCCTGTGTCATTCCAGGTAAATCCAGGAAAGTCCACTTTAACACCCACAACAACTATAGAATGCATTGGCGCAAATCTAGACTCAGTTGGAGCCAGGGCCTACTTACCACAGGACAGATTCCTTGTGATGAGAGACGTCATTTAACTTCATTTCATCCCTCAGACAACAATCTGTCCCTGCTAGGTCACATGGCTGCATGCATCTATATGACCCCCATTGCAGTCTCTGGGTTTGAGTGAGGAAGGTTTGTGCTCCAAGCAGAGAACCCCATAGACAAGTGTCTTGATTTCCCCAGTCTCCTGACATCATTCCCCTAGTGAGACAAGAGGGACAATGTTTATATAGCAGTTTGTTTCCATCTGCCCCCTCTTCCTTCCTCCCCCCCGCCCCCCCAGACACTTGTTACAGATGCCTCTGCTGGGCTGGGTAGCACACCTGTATGACCTCACAGCTCACAGTACCTGGACACCAAGAGTCACACTCCACATCCACCTTCTTGAGCTTTGAGCAGTACACAAAGTGTGCAAAAAGTTCCTGCCCTTTATCCAGTCCAGTCACGTCCGGGTCAGGTTGGACAGCATAACCACTGTTTACTATATAAACTGGGGGGGGGGGGACGGGACACACACACCAAGGTCCAGCCCACTCTGCAGGGAAACAGTCAAGCTCTGGAATTGGTGCATCCAGCGTCAGATCATCCTGTCTGCAGTACACCTGCTGGGGTAATGAACTCCCTAGCAGACACTCTCGGAAAAGGTTTTCACAAGGATTGTAAGTGGGTGTTCCACTCATCAGTGGTCCAGCAGATTTTTCATCAGTTGGGATTCCCATCATGGGACCTCTTTGCAACCCAGGAAAACCATTGCCCTGCCTATTGCTCTCAAGATGCTCTGGGGCACGACTCCAGACAGGATGCAATGATCAGGCCCACTGATGTATGCTTTCCCTCCCATTCCCCTCTTATCTTGCACCCCCTAAAAGATCAAGTGGGAAAAGGCAACAGTGATTTTAATAGCGCCATGGTGGCCATGACAGTTCTGGTTCACGATGGCTGTGCAGATAGCCTCCCACCCATGCGTTCACCTGCAGTCATTTCTGGACCTGCTCTCACAGAGCAAAGGAGGACCAACCATCCCTCCATCTGGCAGCCTGGTTTTTGGATGTGCAACAAGTTTAGAGATTCTTCTCAGAGTAGGTTCAATCCATCCTTCCCAATAGTAAGAAACCTTCTACAAGAAAGTGTTACGTTACCAAATGCAAGCAGTTCTTCCTGTAGAGCCAGATGCATGCTTTGCCTCTGGAGGAGTCTGGATTTTTTCTTGTCCTGGACTATCTCCTCTCCTCTACTTGAAGTCATTAGGCCTGTCCATTAGTTCTCTATGGGTACATTTAGCCTTTCATCCTGTGGTGGTGAACTGCTTAATTTTCACCCACCCTATACCAGCAATGTTCTTAAAAGACATTGTCAGAACCTTCCCATCAGTATCAAGATTTGACCCTGATGCTTTTGCAGCATAGGAACCTGCCACTAGATCCCTTGGCTTCCTGTACCCTCTTACTTTTATTGATGAAAATGGCCTTCCTAACAGCTATTGCCCCCGCCAGGAGAGAGGGGGAACAATAATGTAGAGCTCTGGCCTTCTACCTGGACAGGGCAAGGCCCTTTAGAAGATCTCTGTGGTTATCCATTTCCATTGCTGAGAGGATGAAAAAAGAGGAATATCTTCCCAGACTCACTGAATGGATTTTCACTGCATCTTCCTCTGCCATGAGCTTGCAGAAGCCCCTCCTTCTCAGTCTGTCAGGCCTCATTCCACCAGAATTTAAGCTCCCTTCATGGAATGAGATTCCCTGCAAGGAATCCCACTCCCTGAGACCTGTAGAGCAGCAACCTAAGGCTCCTTTCACACGTTTACCAGGCACAATGCCCTGATGGAAGCCTTAGCTGAGGATGCTTCCTTTGGTTCAGTGATCCTATGAACTGTGGTGCAGAGCAGTTCCTTGCACCTGCCTCCTCAATAAACACTGCTTGGGAGTCACCTACGGTGAATCTCCATAGGGACCAGTACTTGAAGAAGAAAGAAAGATTCTTGTTTGAGTAGTGTCCCTATGGGTGCTCCACTTGAGGCATGCATACACCTTGGATCAGAGATTTTTGGTAGCAGCACCTGCTCAGCCCCTTCACACCTTCATGCCCTCTACTAAGGATATACAGGGCTTCATGGGTTCCTTCTCAACTACCTTGGCCTGATCTAGCATGCCGACTTTTATTATTGTTCAAGCTTAACTTTGCAATTCTTAGTTGTAGATTTAGTGTAGTTATCGGTGTTATGTTTTCTTTCATAATTTCTCAATTTTGTTTATTCTTTCTCCTGGTTCCCCATACAGAGAGGTTTCCCTCAATGTTGCATATGTTGCGGGAATATGCCAGGATCTCTAGGATTTAAGCATTGTCTCACCTGCTGAGACTCTATCCCAGTCAGTGACAGACATTCCCAATGCATTAGTTGTTTGGGGGACATGCACGTCCCACAGAAGTGCAATATTTGCTCAGACTTTAGGAGCAGAGCTGGGCAAAAGTGGGAGATCCTTATGATTAAGGCTAAGATTTTGTCATGGTTATTTTTAGCAAAAGTTATGGACATGTCACGGACACTAAACAAAAATTCGTGGAAGCCATGACCTGTCTGTGACTTCTGCTGCTGCAGCTTCATGGTTTCCCCCCGCTACCATGGTGGTTGGGAACTGTGGGGTTCCCCTTCTGCCCGCGGCGGCTGGAAGCTGCAGGGTGACGATGTTTCCCAAAGAGAAAACGGAACACCCCCAGCCGCTCGCCCGAGGCTTCCTGCTCCTCCCCCACACCCTCCACAAGGCTGTCGCCCATCACTGAAACCCTGAGGAGGGCCCCTTCAGGAGTCTGTCACCTGTTGCTGGAACCTTGCAGGGGACCGTCTGTCACTGCTGATGCCTGTCGCTGGAACCTTGCCAGGGCCCCGCTGGCTGCCAGCTCCAGTGTCCCGCAGCCCCTGGGGCTGAAGCAGAGAATGTCATGGAGGTCCTCTGTGACATAAACGTAGCCTTATGATGTAATGTTGTTTTTGCCTTGCCTCGGATCCAGGCCAGGATCCCTCCCCCCCCCCCCCCCCCCAACCCCTTGTACATCGGCCTCTGAGTGAGCATAGTGCCCCAATCACCTCAGCACTGTGTTTGCCCCAGCCTTTGCGGGAAAAGGCATCAGAAGGTTCAGGGAAGGCCACTAAAAATGGAGTTTTAGTTCTCCTCATAAAGAGTCCACTTTAGGAAAAAGTCTCAGTCTTTGCAAAAATCAACTGTCCGAGTGTTGAGGTCCCATGCTGGGTACTACTGAGGTTCCAGGCTCCTTTGGTTACTGGTAGTACTTCTAAGAGCCATGCTACCAAGTGTACTTCCATACCTAAAACATCCTCAGTACCATCTAAACATGATGGTGATAGCTGAGAGAAACATTCTGCTTCCAAGAAGCTCACACCAACAGACTTTATTAGTATGTAACCTTCAGAACCTAGACATATGACTCCCTTGGTATCAAAGAAGTCTAAACTGCCATCTCATGCCACTTGGTTACCTCCAAAGCATTCAACATTATCGGTACTGACAACTTCTAATGAAAGTGACTTGTTGAAACAGACACCTCCCTCGGTCCTGCAAATCCACCCAGTACCGTAGGAGTTTAGACATTCCCAAGACTTTCTTTTCAGTTGAGCCAAAGTGTCATATTCTGAGAGACAAAAAATTGCCTTAAGCAGGAGCTATGTTGGAGAGAACATATCCGAACATAAGACTAAAAGCATTACAAGAATATTGTAATTATCCCCAAAACAAACATTACAAACTCCGTTTTAATGTAATTTTTTGCCTGTTATTATGGAGTACATTTCTGGGGAAGGCAATTGAAAGAAGGTATAAAGCAATTCAAGAGACTCTCAACAATCAGGAATATTGATTTAAGATGTTGTGTTTTAAAAGATACATTATCAGACTGGGCGGCTGTTCCTTTTTAAAAAAAAATTATGCCACACGCAATTCAGAATCTGTGTTATTCATCTGTTTGTTGCTGTTAAGAGAGAGTGAGTCAAGATAAGGTTTAAATCTGACCACATCCATCTTGTGTTGATGCTCTTAATTAAGATATCTCTCCCCTCCTCCCCCCATCAAGTTTGGGAGAAAGAGAAACTTTTTAGCCCCTACCTTTTTTTCAACATGCATCCTCCTTCACCTCTTTTGTGCAGGTTGTCTTGTTCTGCAAATACACACAAATTCCAAACACGAAAGCATTGTTTTTGTATAAATTGAACGAAAGATTCATAGCAACAGTTCTTATGTTACAGAACAGTTGAAATTTGTAGGGCATAGAAAAAGATTTATTCTATTATTTATTAAGTAAACTTCTTGAATTTAAATAACAAACATTAATGTGATGAATTACTCTTTTTTTAAATAGTGAGGTTTTTATAAAATCTACTCGTGTGGGCTTTTAAAAACTGGAATAGCTTTAGCTAGCTTAACAGGATGGTTCAGGCATAAAGATTTAATAGCTGATACTAAATAAAAAAGCCCTCTTTTCTCAAAAAGGACACAATGTTCAAAACTGAAAAATCCTTGTTGAATAAAAATAAAGTTGATGGTCTGGCATCATTAATTGTTTTTTGTAGATTCTTGATTCAGTGATGAATAAACAAATGCAGTAGTAATAATGAGTTCTTAATATAAAATAATTTGATTTTTGTGTGTGGTTTTTTTAAAAGAAAATGTACTTAAAACTGAATTACTGCATTAACACAGCCTGGGATAATTTGTACGTCAGTTGGGGTTTTTTTTTTTTAAATGTTTGGTTATCTTTTCCTTGTAGCAAAGCCAGAAAACAAAGGATATCACAGAAGACTTGGAAGTAGCCATACTAAAAACATGCCAGTGTATGAATGAACTCAAAAGAGAAGTAAGTACAGCTTATATAAACACAGTCTGAAGAAGATTTTGAATCTCCTTTATTTTCACATGTGTAATGCAAAATAAGGCTCTGACTCTGCAAAGACATAAACATCACATTACATGTTATGAATAGTTCTGTTGACTCAGCTGAACACTTTGATAGTCTTAACTTTATGCCTGTAGATAGTATCATAGAATCTTATCCTGCAACACTTACTCAAGTGAGCAGAAAACAGTGGGACACTTCTAGGACTAAGGACTGTTTGTGTACGTAAGTGTTACAGGATCTGATCTATAGTGAATTTCCCAATGGAGCCAGTGCTGCTGTAGAAGTCAATTAAAAACTTCTTCACAGGGAGCAGGAACAAGTAGTACATTTTCAAATGCATATATATAATCCACAGAGAGGCAAGGAAGGTGAGGTACTATCTTTTAGTGGACCAGCTTCTGTCCCAATTTACGTTTATCTCAGACACTCTGCTTCCTTCCCCAAACCCGAAGAAGAGCTCCGTGTAGTTCGGAAGCTTGTACCTTCCACCAACAGAAGTTGGCCCAGTAAAAGATATTGCCTCATCTACCTTGTGTCTCTCATATCCTGGGTCCAATACAGTTACAACAACACTATATAATCTGCCAATTTAGTGCCAGATTTTGCTCTTGGATGCATGCATAGCTCTGATTAAAGTTTACTGTATAAAAAGGTAGTACTTTCTTCACAGGATTTTTAAGAAACCAGGAGTTATGTTGACTGGTAATTGTTACAGTATCCACATGTAGTTGTGAAAAATGAATAAATGGCTTTTGCAATTTCTTTGCATTTCACCTATTGCAATTGAAAAGAAAACTTACTTATTTTCACTAGGAAATATATTAAATATGTGCCTTACAAAAACTTTTTTTCAGGTATCTTGCGACAATAGATATTGTTAAAATGCAGCCTAAAAAAACTAGAAGTTAATTATTTACCAAGATTATTGTAGGAACTGCAATTATTCATAGTAGTATCTGACATCCTGCACATTTTTATCCTGAAGAATTCAAAAGCACTCTAAATATTACATACAAAAACTGCTTAAAATAGCTTTTTAGGTGCTAAGTCATGATCTTGAACGTTAGAAGTGTCAGAATGTAGGTTGATTTTGAAATCTCAATTTGATCTTTATGTGCATATGTATGATGATTCAGTCTTTAATTAATGATCATGTGCTGTTTTATTTTCCCGCGTGGGAACTGTGCCTCGTTCAGTGCACAGGGTGGATGGTGCTCAGTGAATGAGGCAGCTATTTGGTATTCTGGTTTATCCTTATTCAGTGAATGGTCTTATGCCTTGGTCTTATGCACACAACTCAAATTCTCCATTGAATACAGAATTAGTGATTTCCTTATGGTCTTTTTTCTGGTGTTCATCACTCTAGTATCTGAGTGCCTCACAACATATTAAGGAACTTATCTTCTCAACTCCCTGGGTGATAAGAGAATTATTGTTCCCATTTTACAGTTGGAGAAAAGTGATTTGCCTGAGGTTTACTCCTGGGGGAATTCTGCACCACTTCGCACATGCAGAATTCATGTCCCCCGCAAATTTTTTTTTTCTCCACAGAATATGGCCACACGAGGACAGGGACAGATATTCCTAACTGAATGGCAGAGGCTAGGAGTCTACGTGGGGGAGGCTCCCCAGCTCCCTAACAATCCCCTCCCCCCAAAAAAAATCCTGTTCCATGCTTCTCCCACCCATAGCCAAGAACCCTCCAGGTTCACTCCCAGGCTCCTTCCCTCTCCCTCAGCTCCTCTGTTACCCCTAACTCCCTCCAAGCCTTTGCACTGCTTCTGAGGGGTGCAAGAAATAAGTTTCTGTATTGTAGTTCAAATGAATTACTCAAAGTTTAGTAAAGAATCTTATTTGTCAAAAAACATTTTCTGAATTTTTTGTGTGTGTCTGTATTGTTAGACATATTTGCGGACAGATATTTTAAAATAAATCACCAAAATAATTGAAACTGGCATGATTATATTGTGTTATTTTGACAAATAAAATATGCAGAATTTTGCTGCATTTTAAAATATTGTGCACAGAATTTTTAACTTTTTGGCACATAATTCCCCCCAGGAGTAGAGGTTGTTCTGCAAGTCATTAGCAGAACCCTAATTTGAACTCTGGATCGACTGACTCTCATCCCTTCCCTCATTCCTCCATGCAGAGCTGTTGAGCATACACAGCTTCAGTTAGATTTCATTTGCAACAGACTGTTCAACACACCCCAGGTGTGTCAAGTTGGGCACCCAGAAAATGAGGAACACACAGTTAGTAGCCACCTGCCAACATTTTGATGTGACTTGCTCATCATAAGGAAGTCTGTGGCAGAGACAACAATAGAATAGAGTTCTCTTGTGTGACATTCACCTGTTTTAACCACAAGACACCTATCTAATTCTGTACATACCTGCCTACTTCTAGAGCAAACGAGGTAGGGGCTTGTTCTGCACACAATTCTGACTTATTCCCTGACCACCATCCATCCTGTGCACTGAAAATAGTATGTGATCATGCAGTTAACACCATCTCATAATACATATGCGTAAAGGGGACGGATTTAATTTGCATAGGAAGTGCTTGACTTTGCAACCTTAAATAACTTTCTTATAATGTCGTTTTTTAATATCATTTCCATTGTTAGTCTTAAAAAAAAAATTAAAAACAAATTCTGTTTTGTACAAATGTAATGTCCACAGTTTGAACCCCGAACCTCTCAACACTGCAACATAGACTTCTACCGCTTAAGTTTGAAGACTTACTAAATTAACTGGCAGCAGCAGAATAGTTATCCTCCGTAAACCAAAAACTAGAAGAGGGTAAATAATACACTTACCCAATGGGAGCATGAGAAGCCCTGCTTTATTGACAGTGTAGCCAAGGTCAAAGATATGGCAGATTATTTGAGAGGCAGTGGAGCTAACTGGGTGTCATTGGGTTTGACATATTAGATATCTGCATTCTACATTCCCAGCTTTTGTGGCTCTCTGTGGGGAATGAAGCCTTCCTTAATGAAGAGTTTGTGAAGGTTATAGAACTATTAACACCTCTTAGCAGAAGTGAGTCTAACTCATGCTGTCTTGGTTCTCAGCTGTTTGTGCTCCAGGGCTTCTTATCCTGCACCGTGAAGTGGTGAAGGGGGTTGGTCCTCTGGGGCCAGGTTCTGGGTCCTGGGTGTGGCTGAGAAGTCTAACCTGCCACACTCTCCCACATCCCCTGCCTCTCTAAATTGATCCATCAGGAGCCAGGCTATTTCTGCTTCTGAGGGTTCCAAAATCTTGCAGCAACCCCTATATTTAGGTTGCCTTACTATTTTCATTATGAAAGATTAAATTTTCAGAAGCTATAATACCTCCATTGTTTAAAGACCACTTTATAAACTCAGTAGGGAGGTTGCTTTGGGGCAAAGGACATGCCTTTTATTTAAAGTTAGCTGATTAGTACAGTAGTAGTGGGGGCCTACCCTTAGAATGTATAGAGATTATGGCACGCTGCCAAAATTATGCTGCCAGTCCCTCCTGTGATACAAGCAATATATTTGCAAGAATCATTTTATTAATCACTGCAATGAACCCAGCTCTGGGTTAAAACATGGCAATATTTAATAGCACAGGGCAACATTACCTAAGAGTTTACAGTGCGAAATGAAGAATACTACAGTTGGTTGAAAACATAGCAGGAATTTAGGTAGGCAGAAGTACTGTAGTACTATATGCATCCGAAGAAGTGGGTTGTAGCCCACGAAAGCTTATGCTCTAATAAATTTGTTAGTCTCTAAGGTACCACAAGTACTCCTGTTCTTTCTGCGGATACAGACTAACACGGCTGCTACTCTGAAACCTGTAGTAAGTTTATGTGATGGCACTAATAAAAAGGCAAAAATGAAAACCAGACTTATCCCTTCCCACCTTATCTGGGGAGGGCCAGAGGAGGAAGTCTCTGGCCTGGCTGGAGCTGCTCCGGCAGGCTGGGCAGCACTGCCGCAGCCTGCTCTGGCGGGCCAGACTGGGCAGCGCGGCTGCAGCGTGCTCCGGCAGCGCAGCCACAGCCTGCTCTGGAGGGGCAGGGCCGAGCGGCAGGGCTGCAGCCTGCTAGCCCCAGAGCTGCAGCTGCTTCAGAGGCTGGGGGGAGAGCTGCGTGGCCAGAAGCGAAGAGACTCTGGCCCCGCCTCTTCCCTTCTGGCTTTGCTGGCTGTGCTGCCTCTCCTTGCTCCCTCTGTTAGGGGGAGGGGCTGTGTCCCACCTGTCCCTCTCTATACCCGTTCATAAGCCGACCCCCTTCCCTTTTTTACTAAAAAATTCAGCTTATGAACGAGTATATACGGTAGTTTGTCTTAGCGATTGGCTGAACGAGAAGTAGGACTGAGTGGACTTGTAGGCTCTGAAGTTTTACATCGTTTTGTTTTTGAGTGCATCTGTGTAACAAACAAACAAAATCTACATTTGTACATTGCACTTTCATGACAGATTGCACTACAGTGTTTGTATGAGTTAAATTGAAAAATAGTATTTCTTTTGTTTGTCATTTTTACAGTGCAAATATTTGTAATCAAAAATAATATACACTTTGATTTCAGTTACAACACAGAATACAATATATATGAAAATGTAGAAGAACATCCAAAATATTTAATAAATTTCAATTGCTATTCTATTGTTTAACAGTGTGATTAAAACTGTGATTAATCGCGATTAATTTTTTTGAGTTAATTGCATGAGTTAACTGCAATTAATTGATAGCCCTATAAGTAATTGTTTTGTCTTTGACCATTGATTTCTGAGGCTCTAGAGTGCTCTTGTGCCAAGCTTCTCTCTGTAATCATGAGGACTAGAAACTTTTTTTTTTTTTTTAATTGAGATTTTTATGAACTCCGCTGAGTCCAGCAACTGGAGCTTTAGGACTGTTGCAAGACTCACTGTATGAGAATGACAACACTGTAGCTATGGCCAGGAGTGTCCCTAGTATTATGATGCCAGTGGATTCCTGTTGCCAGGCAGCTGGAGAAGGAGGGTTACTAGGGGCCACAGCTGGTGCGGAGCTGCAGGTCTTCTAGGTAGATGACCTTGACTTCCCAGGGATCCCCAGGTATCTACCAGGTGGGCCCAATAACATACTGGGGAGACCTGTCCCTGCTTCTGGGATTATATGGAGGAATTTTTGTGGGATTTCCTCCCCTGAGCCCCACTCCTGTGGCTTTCCCCCCCCCCTCCCCCCACTGTAGAAGAGGGTGATGTGGGCTATTGTTTTACTCATTTGTGTCTTGTCTTAAGTTAGATCACAACTGGTCACATTTTCAAGTTTTTCTTTGCAACATTAAGGGTGAGATTCTGATGTCCTGTGAGTCCAGGTGCTGGAATACTAGGAACTGTCTCCAGTGTCTGTGCCTTAATCTGGCTCTGCCTATGTATATGCAGTACACAGTGGAAAAGGCCTTCCACTGTCAGTAGGTCATGTTGGGTTTGGGCAAGAAGAGGGACCACTGATCCTTGTTCACGCAGAGCTGGTGGCCTCAGTACCTTATGCAGCTAGTATAGAGGAGGGCTTATTCCAATTGCAGTAATTGCCAGGGGGATGCAATGCAATACCTTATACCCTGGTCTGCCCCAACTGCTTTTCTGTCTGCCCCCAAAAGGCTTGAATACTCAGCTTTTTTTGAGAGTGGAGTGGATTTTAGTCTACGTATCTGGATAGAAGTTTCAGAATAAAGCCCCTGAGGTACAAACATCTCTGAACTTAACTTAGTACCAGTAAGCTTTTTTTTTTTTTTTAATTCCTGCCTCTTGGTCATCTGCTGAATCCACTATCGCTAAAGTATTTTTATTGTAGATTAGCTTCACATGTTATTTATCTTTCAGTGCTTATTTTTTCTTTTCCTTACTGCTACTGAAGCTTCACCATGCAGCCACATCACTGGCAGCAGACCTGCTAAGATACCATGCAGATCACATGGTTTTGAAGGCATTAAAAATCACAGGAGTAGAAGGAAATCTAGAAGCTGTAGCAGAATATACTTGTAAGCTATCAGAGCAGAAAGAGCAGCTTGTTGAGGTGAGTTAATTTTATTTTCAAATAGATTTAATATAAAAAGTTCCAAAATCTATCTAAATGAACTGTTCTTCAGGGTGTCTTTCGTGTTTTAACCTGTAGAATGTACCTCTGGCGCTACTGGACTCTACATTCTCCTAGAAGATAGTGTCTGAGTGCAGCATGAGCTTCCTCACTGCACCAAACATTTGGGTTCACTGTTATAGAATTGGACCCACTGCCCCACCTGCGCAGTCCCTGTTGCTGCTTGCTGTGGGCACAGGAACCTCATTACCTGATTTTGGGGGGGCCTCTGTGACTGCATATCGGGGCCAAGATTTTCATAAATAGGAGCGTAAAGTTAGGCTCTTAAATCCAGATTTAAACACTTGCCTGCTTTCTCAAGAATACTAAACAACCAAAAGCTTCCGTTGATTTCAGTGGGAGATTTTAGGTGCTCATCATTCTTAAAATCGGGCAAATTCCTAAATATGAATTCAGGAGCTTAGTTATCCCCAGTGCTTCAGACATAGATACAGCAAAAGCAGATGTTAAAGTGGAAATAAAAATAGAATACTTACTTACTCTGTGTGTGTGTGTGTGTGTGTGTGTGTGTGTGTGTGTGTGTGTGTGT